GAAAATTTGTCGAGGTGGCTTTGGTTGGAGTAGTCGCACTTTAAAATGTTGATTCTGGTTTCTATTATATTTTTATTTAACGTTTTCGACAACGAAGGTCATCATTAGAATAACACTACAGATTTATGCGTGGAGCAGTTAATTTACGCCCTTAGTTACATCTAGCTATCCTCTAACGGTGTAACTTAAATGCTTCTCATGTTAATCTGTAGCTTTATTCAGATGATGACATTCAGTCGAAAATGTTCAATAAAAACTATTTTATTAAAACTATTATAATGATAGTTTTTAAATTTTCATTTTTTTAAATGTAAAAATATTTCAAAATGTAAAAAAAAATTTTTTAAATACAAATGGTGCTATGACAAAGCTAGAGATAATGTTTTTGTCGATATAAGCATACAAATGATAGGGTGGGCAAATTGTTTTCCGTGTCTGTACGATCTCAACAATACATTTTGACCAAAATTGTCTACATTTAGAAAAAAATATTAATTAAAAACAATATTATACAATTTTGTAACGCATTTATTACATTAGAGAATCCAGCAGCAACAATTCGATATTTTGCCGTTTTCTCAAACTCTCAAGAACAAAAGGAATTATAATCTTTTTCATTATCGTCATAGGTATTGCTGCTGCTACTTCTGTTTTGGGAGAAGGTTTTTCAAAATAGACACACGGATTTTGATCATTACCATTCCTGTAAGCCCACCATTGATCGTTACCAGCAAACTCCACTTCTTCTCAGCGAACCCCATGCGTTTTACAGCCATAGCAGTCACTGCTCCTCCTCCACCTATGAACAAGGGAAATATTTTTAGCTTAAAATACGTAATTAACGGTATGCTACATTGCTTTCCCATAGCTTAATAAACGCTAAAATGTGAAATTGAAGAACAAACGATCTGATCCGACCTAAAGAGTAAAAGCATCTAATAATAAAATTACAACATCAACGTTTGGTTTTCTTTTAGGTTACTGTACTCTCGAATTTTAGTGACCATGTCAAGGGGGCTGGTATAATTGAAAGGGGAATGGGCTGCTAGTCAAAAAATATGCAAGAAAAAAGGGTATTACTTGAATTTTTCAAGCACACAGAAACATGTGGATCACGTGGGGAGGGTGGAGGGGGTGTTAATACGTTTTCACGAAAATTGTTTTGATTCTTGTTAAAAGTGGATATAATTATGTTACGATTGTAGGAGATATTTCATACCCGATATAATGGTATTGACAATTGCAAGAGAAACAATATCTGCGTCTTTTTCGTGTGAAATCTGTCCTTGGGATCCACCATTAAACGCTAGGAAGCCGAAGAATAAGATAAATCCTCCCAATGCGGCCATCTACAAAACGAAAAGACAATACAATTTTGTTACCAAGATCCCTAAAATTTCCACGATTGATCGAATAAACTTTATTTCATGAGGGTAGCACACGACAGTTATAATTTAGACAATCATACTGATAATGAACCCAGTTGCCCTAATTGTCACACACAAAAGTTTCAATGTGAATCTACGTGTATAATGCTCAGTGATTTATGACAGAAGGAAAATGTAAATTTAATTTAGCATGTAACCTCGTACTGAAACTTTTGAGCATGACAATCAAAGCACATCTCGAGAGTGGGCTATTAAAACGTTACTTGAGATATGGATGCTAACCCTGAACAATAGAGAACTCGAAACTGGAGTATGTATTTACCGGTACTGTATGCCCTTGAATAACCATCGGACGTCCCCATTCATCGAAGCGACCGATTCTAGGACCAACTAGAATAGCACCAACAAGTGCGCATACTCCACCGACAACATGTACTACAGCGCTCCCAGCAAAGTCCTGCAAATGATTAATTTTAAAAAGTGACGCAAAGAACTTTTAATTTGAACAATTTATGAATACAAACGTTTAGTAGAGGTTTTGCACCTGTCCACACGCCCATAATACAGCTTGGACTGCCTGTGGTTAGATGGCAGAACACTAAAATTCCTTCTTATGTAAAAGATTGTTTTGTTCCTGCCATTTCAGTAACACGGTTGCCGTAACGTGATGGTGAAAACCTTTGCATCCATTGAGACTTACCATATAGGACACCTCGTATTTAGTACTTCCATCAATAGAATAAAAGTGTGTACCAACATAAAGCCATCCTTTAGGATCCCATGCCCAGTGAGCTACTACAGGATAGATAAAACCTAAAATCAAGTCAGAAAAACTTTTTTAAAATCATAATTTGCATTATTAAATCTCCTCTTCTTTATTTTTCCTTTCCTCTTTTAATTTGGCTTCTGTTTAGCCATCATGTTTGTTTTCTGTTTTTCTCTTACCAGTCAAGAAAATTGAATACACAATATAGCTTCTAAATTCGGTTCTCTCTGCCATAGCACCGCTGACTATTGTTGAGGCGGTCGCGGCAAACACAAACTGGAAAAACCAGTGTGCATACACACTGGATGGTACATAAGATAGTGCAAAGTAGTTGTAGCCAATGAAAGAATTTCCCTCGCTGCCATAGGCAAACGCGTATCCAAAGAGCCAATACGCCATGCCGCCAATAACTAAAATAAAGCAGGTGAAAAATAATCAGCATTAAGAATCACTTTCCCTGTTTATATCGTATTGATAAATATGACCAAGAAAAAATCTAAAAATTCACATATTTCATGATGACGTCAGAAGTAAACAATCTGTGTCTGGTTAAGGGGAATAGACCCTTCCCGAATTCGCTGGGATGACCACGAAACAATGGTTTGAAGTCGAGACTGGGGATGATTCTTTCATTCATCAAGTTCAACCTCGACTTGAAACCATTGTTTCGTGGCCAGTCAAGCGAATTCGAGATAGGTATATTGAATTACAGACCCAATTTTTTAACATAAACTATACAATATTATTTTTAGGTAGAATCGTGCAGCCGTCATGTTTTTTTTCCTGCTATGTTTTGTCCTTTTTCTTTGTAAAATTGCAGTTGGAACTCCACCATAAAGAAAGAAATCCAAGACTAATATTTAATAAATAACCAACTCCCCCCTCCCCCTCGGAATTATAAATGAACTTTCCATTCAACCTGAATCTTTAGCAAGTTAAGGTGGCTCGACTGGGTTTTGTTTGTGGCATACATTCGAAGTCTGAAGGGGAAATGCGTCGCTGCCAATAAGTTAATTTCAAATGAATCATTATGACATGTCTAGAGATAGATTCAAGTTTTACATGATATACAATTTATCGCGATCGGAGTTATCATAGCAATACAGTGACGCCATGTCATTTTTTTATACATTCCGTTTTTGACGAAATTGTTTAAAAAATGGTTTAAAAGTTCTTAAAGTTCATATGTTTGTCTTCAAGTTAACAAGACAGTTAAAATCCTACAATTCCTAGTGGAAAATATACTTATATTGTATTGCGTAAATAAATGTCCAACACTGTATCGAATGCGTGTTGTGGCTTATTGTCTGCACCAAAACGTTAATGAACGTTTGAAAACGTTAATGAACCCACGCAAACATACTCATGATTGTCAAATTCAATGCTAAATTTTTTAATGAAAGTTCCATCGCACTCTTGAGACTCCGTTCGCCTTATATTGTATGCCTGTTCGCTCTAATGACAATGCTTCTCCGCTTCAATGAATATTCATTTGCCGTTAATGAACAGCGAAGGTGTGAAAACGGTCAAACTCAATAATCCGATGAATTTTTTTTAAAACTTCGAAGTCAGTTACTTTAGATAACGCATTTATATACTTTAAATTTTCAAGTTCATTGAAATGAGTGCTTACACTATGTCCATGAAATAAAATCTAAATAGTAACTACCTAACAGTTTTTATTTAGTGACTATTAGTCACTATCACTCAACTGGAACTGCTTTAGTAACAATACACAAGGGAAACCAAGTACTCAAGACAATAGAAAGATAATACTTTTTTTAAGAGGCATACTTTATTGTTTCGACATAAAAATCATTGCATTTCATTACAGGGGTTTTCACAAACCCGTGAAATATTTTACTCTTACACCGGTCTGATTCTTTTGCTTGTTTGAATCGGCTATACTGAACTCTAAAAAGTAAACTTGGCCGTTTTCATGGGTTTATAAAGCGTTTATAATTAACAATTAGACTACGAGGTCGAGTTTTCTATGAGTCAATAGATAGTCGATGAGGCGCGTATCGCCGAATCGACTATTTGACTCGTAGAAAACGAGAACGCTTTAATGGGAATCGATGCACCAACTATGAGAAGGTCTTACAGGAAGGCCTGGAATATTATTCAGTGAATTAGAGAGATTTTCATAAAACCATGAAAACGGCCAAGTTTACTTTTTAGAGTTCACTATAGTCCGATTCAAACAAGCAAAAGAATCAGACCAGTGTAAGAGTAAAATATTCACGGGTTTGTGAAAACCCCTGTAATGAAATGCAATGATTTTTATGTCGAAACAATAAAGTATGCCTCTATCAAATGAAGTATTATCTTTCTATTGTCTTCAGTACTTGGTTTCCCTTGTGCATTTTTACTAAAGCAGTTCCAGTTGAGTGATAGTGACTAATAGTCACTAAATAAAAACTATTAGGTAGTTACTATTTAGATTTTATTTCATGGACATAGTGTAAGCGCTCTAATTTAAAACTGTCAAATAATATTCTCAATTCCTTAAACATTTGTATCCCAATTCTAAATATGAGACCGCTTTCTTCACTCGCACTATGTTTATATTGTTACGCCTTTCTATTGTCCAGAATATTTCCAAAGTCGTGCATTCCAACACCTCACGCTTTACATTCGATGCCTGATTGCTTTCCGAAACCCTTCCGACTATGATAACTTGTGGTTGCAATTTCAATGAGCTAGGACTTTATTTATTACAATATTTTTAAAGTCTTTGAGTACTATATTTGTGTGACAAGCGTTTTTCTAAGTCCTTTGTTATTTGCTAGCTCATTGATTTGCAACCACAAATTATCATAGTCGGAAGGGTTTCGGAAAGCAATCAGGCATCGAATGTAAGGCGTGAGGTGTTGCAATTTCAATGAGCTAGCAAATAACAAAGGAAGCTCCATCGCACTCTTGAGACTCCGTAGTAAAGATAAGTGAAATCTTTGACAAGATATCAAAAGGCACAACTTTACTAACTAGGCTTGAAATCATATTTATCGAAATGGAATAAAGCGATTTCTTTCCAATTCTCAGAAGGACTAGTGGAATAGTAACACAAAACTATGATCCAAAAAAAAGCTTTCCCCAAGTCCAGTAAGAAAAGGTTTTGGTCACATGAACTAATTGCTTTGGATTGTTTACATTTTCGTTGCCCAAAACCTCCGATGGCAATTATTTCGAAACGCTTCCATACAAATCTTCGAAATTTCGTTAACTTTTAAACCATTTTTTAAACAAACGTCTGATTTCGCCAAAAACGGAATGTATAAAAAAATAACATGGCGTCTTTGCATTGCTATGGCAACTCCGATCGCGATAAATTGTATATCATGTAAAACTTGAATCTATCTCTAGACATGTCATAATGATTTATTTGAAATTAACTTATTGGCAGCGACGCATTTCCCCTTCAAACTTTGAATGTATGCCACAAACAAAACCCAGTCGAGCCACCTTAAGAGGCAATGTCCATAATTGAGAATTTGTGGCAAGGCTCAAAAAATCAAATTCCCTCTTCTTTTGAAGTTAGATAGGCCATTATTATATATGAATCCCTGGGGACTCGGTTTTCGAAAATATGATTTTATTTTCGAGAAAACGGCCACAGAAGAGGTTATTAAAACATATTTGACTATTTGAATTTGATTTTTTGACCCTTGCCACCATTTGTTTGATTCTTGTGGACACTGCCTCTTAAGTGTTGAGTAAACTTCTCGAACAAAATAGCTTTTCTTATCGTCATTACAAGCCTTTAATTCTAAAATTGTTCTAGAAAATTCCGAAACGAATTTCATCAATGAAATTTGTTTAATAAGCTATCATGAGGATAAGATATCTCTCCAAGATATTTAGAATAATTCTAGATTGAGAAAAAAAGGGCGATATGCAGTTGCATACTTACACACGTCCAATACATTTTTAATTAGAATGTTAGTAGTGTTCTTTGAACGCACAGATCCTGCTTCAAGAAACGCAAAACCAACCTGCATAACTGGAAACCAATGTTATTATTGAAGGACACTTTATAAAGAGGTCAAACACGTACGCAAATTTCTTAAGAAATCTTTCTCAGTCATTTACGATACTTACAAAAGACAAATATTCCCATCAGCAAAAGGAACAACTGGTCTAAGCTTTTCCCCAGCAGTGCCACAAGCAAAGACTGTCCCACGCCATGTTCGATTTCACTTGAGTTGGAAGACATTTCTTACTTTTCGAAACTCTACCCACAAGATTTGCTTTACGCTACCTAACCGTTGGAATAGGAACGAAGCTTCGCATGAACTCTTGCTCAACGCATTTACAATTGATTCGAAATTACAACCAATGAAAACATTTGTTCTTTGTTCCCAACAGAACGTTTTTGCATAATTTTTAGATCATAGTGAAAATTCTTAATTCTTCACGCTATTAAATTTGCGTTAACGAATACTTTCAAAATCTTTCTGTTGAAAACAATATAGCAATTATTTTGATTTGAGATATTCAGGTGTCAAACAGAATGTTGAAATATGTAATAGACCTCTTGCATGTGACATCAAAGCAGCTCAACTTGAGGACAAAACAAAAGAATTTCAATTTCATGAGAATTGAATACCAATTGTTTTGCTCTCCAAATTGAGCCGCATTCCGAGGGATCTATTTTTGACAAAAACGTCGTTTGGAGCGTATTTGTACATAGGTAATTTAAAATTTTGCTGCGACCACCCAAGAAAATTCGAAGAAAAAACAAAAGGGAACAAATACAAATTTGCTTGTTTTTAGTAGATTTTACCTTGGCACGACGTTTTGTTAAATTTTTTCCGTAAATCCAATCCTGATGTGCACAAAATGCTGTCGAGGAAATAGGCTTTTCATGAGGCTTAAATTGCTATACGATTTGGAATAAAATCTTTGCCAATGTTGTTTGGTAGTCGAGAAACTTTTTTTGTTAATCACAGGTTGGCATGAAATCGTGTTTTCGAAGGGTTCTGTGGTGTTTGAGAACTTGCCTCACTCTTGCAATGTATATACTTCTCCCCTTACTTCTCAATATCTTCGAAATAACAGACGTCTTGAAAAATTTGATATTAGAAATAAATCTATCCTCCAATAATTTACTTTAGATTGATGTTTTAACTTTTTTTGTCCACTCGATGCCAATTTTTTTTTTAAAAATTCGAAAATAGAGATGTAAATAGGCGTGGAATTTCGTTATAGCCAAAAACCATAAAACGTTTGGCGAAAAAACAAAGACATACGCGGCATAATGTGACAATCAACTGCACTGGACTTCGAACTTGTGGTTTTATAGAGATTGCATAATTTCTTAAATCAAATTAAACTAAGTTTACAGTGCGACTACTCCAACCAAGGCCACTGTGGAAAATTTTCTACAAATTATCCAATAGTGTTTGAATACTAAGACAAAATATTAGCGGCCAATTTTGAATTCAGATATTCTTACGTTGTTCAGATTGGTAAAACTAAATGATAAACAAGAGTTTGTAATATATTTTCTTTGCAAATTAGTGATTCACCATTTTCCATACATCGTTTCATCGGTCAAACACAAAGCGCTTAAGCGACGCACCAAGGTACTTTCAAAGAACTATTAAAATGTTAACCTTGCAAGCTCGACTGAAATGCTTTGTGTTTGACCATTGAACCGATGTATGGAAAATGGTGAATTTGTGTCACCAAAAATCTACAAAAACAGTAATGTGCATCAAATACGGTAGGAAAGCAAATTAGAAATCGTATAAAACACAGTCTTCATGATTACAGTTTGTTTCTTCCAAACAACGATATTATCAGGATGACACAGATGACACATGATCCTGGAATCAGCGATCATGCGATGGTTTATAGTGTTATGAAAGAAAAAGGTGTAAATGATTCTAACAAAGTAATTTCATCTAGAAGCTATAAGAACATAAACAAGGATATGTTCTTGCAAGATATTAGCTCGGCCCCATGGCATGTGGCTGAAATATCTGATTCGTTGGACGAGGAGTACGAATACTGGGCTATGACTGCCTACTTTTGAAATTGTGCGCTACTGCGCATTTTTCTGCGCATAACCAAATATATATAAGCACTGGCACCAGAAGCTTTCCTGGGCCTCGTATTTTTTGCGAAAATCAAGTAGGAAACAATAAAGATGCATGAACGTTAAAATGCTCTCTTTTCATCAGTAATGATAATCTAAACTTTAGTAATGTAAAAAACTTAACTATGTTTCACATATGTGAATCGCAAATCAGCTATACCGATATGAAAGTTGTAAACATTACAAAATATTCCTCGACTAGTCTATGATAAAAAGAAATCATTACTTCATTATAATTATAATTAAAATGAAAAAATACTTTCTCAAAGTAACATATTCCAGTCAGCAATATATAAAGTATAAGAAAA